CCCACACACACACACACACACACACACACACACACACACACACGGAAAAGGCCTATGATCCCCAAGAATGAGCTCACACTCAAGACTCCAACTGTGGCCTTCAGCACCCACATACTTCTGGTAGCCTGGGCTCCACCTGCCCCAGCATCCAGCAAGGGCCATGATGATGGAAATGAACCCAAGGCTGGGGGCTGTGACCACATCCATCATTGTTCAGGTCAACACTGTGGGCCCAAGTAACATCTATGCCTGAGCTAATGGTATGTCCTTCACGTACACACACTGCTGACTGCAGGCCCTGGTGGTTCTCAGCCACATTAAACCTTCGTTAATGTAAGTCTTTGTATTTATTATTTTAATCCTCACAAAAACTAGGTGAGCTGAGAAACATTATTTCAATCATAAATACAGAACCCAAACTCAGAAAAGTTAAAAAGCCTGCCTTAAGGCTCCATGCTACTGGTAATATGACAGATTAAAACCTGGGCCAGCTGATTCCAGAATTGCCACCCACCCTATGAGCTTACTCTCAGCAATCCATGCATTATAACTGCAGCTCACTGAGAAATCAACCAGGGCAACGGGCTGCTAAACTGAGACAGCAAAGGAGATCTGGGGCTTCAACTCTCCCTGCAGCATCTACGTAGGGGCCGGAGAAGGTCCCAGCACTCAAGTGCCAGTCTGACCAGACTTGTCTTGCTGACCACTGTGCAAACAGTCCCACTCCACAGTCACCAAGCCTCTTGCTTACCCATCCGCTCTGGCCTTTTATGTTTCAGCAGATCCCAGCAAAGTCACTGCTATGAGGGGGCTGAACCTGAACTCAACTCCAGGGTACCACACAAAGCACAACTTTAAATCGTCACAGTACCTAACTAATGAGTTAGCCTGCTTACTCTCCAATCTGCATTATTCCCACACGTTTCAACAGAGAAAGTACTGACTTGTGAACAAAATAGGCAGTGCTGTCTTCACTGTTTACAATGCGTGTTAAACTGGAAGATGCAGAGAGATGTTACCTTTAAATTCACCTGGACTCTCACTAGCATCATTTTATATAAGGTCACAAACCACATATGAACACCCAGCTGAAGCTGGCTGCACTGTTTTAAGCAGCTCTTTCTTTTGTAAGAGAGGTGTCCCCAACCCATGCATATCAAGACTAAAGTCAGAACACTCTCTCACGGAAGCCAACAAACTAGGAGACCTCAGGAGGGATGGGCACCAGCCTGCACAGCCACTGCAGTTTTTCTGCGCTGCACCAGGACTGCGGGCTTGCATGTGGCCAATTATTTGTCCCCGATAGAGTCTATGGCCATAGCTCATGGTGACAGAAGCCCTGTCCTACTGAGAAGACACATTCCACATCTCTTATCAGTACAGGTTTGTAATGTGTATCACAGTGTGTACTATTGAAAAGGAACATGTGTTTTGAGAAAGGAAAACAATTGAAGATAACGTCAACTACTTGAAATGGGAACAAACAGGAACATGAAAATGTATCTTACGGGCAAAATAAATAATCACCCTTTCAATTTCCTGAACCTCCCTCCCCTTAGCAACATGCCGGTGTGCTGAGCTGAGCTGAGCTGAGCTGAGCTGAGTTGAGCACTCGTTGGTCTCCAGGCTACTGTCCTCCCCACAGACCTCACTAGCCAGGCTTCTCTCCATCTATCCTTGCCTAATTTCAACTCTCTCTACTCCCACAACCTGACATGAGTTAAGGCTTTTCTTAAACAAATTTGTATTTCTGAAGTTAAAAAAATAAAATAAAATCTTTCTATGTATCTTTAAGTAAGAAACAATGTTATATAAGCTGCCCAGTCAAGAATTAATTTAAAAATGAACTCTTTCATCTTTGTCCTCCAAGAGCCACAAAGGACATGGTCCTACCTCAGAGCCCTGTTCTTGTGCCTTAGCAGTGCTCACAGCAGTGCCCAAGTTCCCTGCAGGTGTCTATCACCCTGCCTCCACCTTCACACATGGACACCTGTCTGAAGACAAATTCCTGACCTGTGGAAGAAACACACATGCACCCTGTCTTACAAATCCAGCTGCTCCAAATCACAGCCTTCCATGCTCACAACACCCCATTCCATGTGTAAACCAACACAGTGAGATCAAGGAACAGCACAGAGATCTGTGCCAAGTTCAGCAGTACAGCAAGAGCAGCTCTCACTAGAGGCCCACTGCATGAGCACTCAACATTCAAGAGTCCAGGAGGGAACTACAAGCCACAGTCTGGCAACTCTTGCAATGGGACTCTGTATCTTGCAGTCAAAGCACAAGGACAGAAACCTCCAGGCTCAAGGGGGAGTGAACAAGCAAGTGGATATAGAATTTAGAAGTCACAACCAAATTATCTTTTTTTTTTAAATTTTTTAGAATTGTTTTTTGTTTTTGTTTTTTCCAGACAGAGTTTCTCTGTGTAACAGCTCTGGCTGTTCTGGAACTCAGTTTGTAGCCCAAGCTGGCCTCAAACTCACAAGAGATCTGCCTGCCTCTGCCTCCTGGGTGCTGGGATTAAAGCTGCGCGCCACCACCATCTGGCTCAATTGAATTATCTTAGCCTGAGATTAAAAATAATGCCCTCTTCTCATGAAATTACTGAAACACTTTCTGAACGGCACCACAACAGATCACATAGCCTTGGGAATCTTATGCACTGTCTTGATAATCTTGCTAATTCACTGACTCTCCTTCCTCGATATACACAAGCTAAAAAACAAAGACAACCAGCAACTCCTGCCCATCATCAGGGCACCAAGCATGCTTGTGGGCTTGGTTTCTTGTGACTGACAAAGGCGATCCAACCCCAGGGCAGCTGCTACCTCCAGTCTCGATACCTGCTCAAGGCTGCAAGGGCCAGCTCGTAGGCCTAGGCAGCTTGGGATCCTGACTTATACCTTATCCTTTTGAATAGCTCCTGTCTTCTGGAAGATTATCTATCCATGGCAGAAAATGCAAAACCCGGGCACACAAGACAAAGGAGAGAACAGATACTGTCCTGGCCAACACTGTAGATGGAACATGGCCCCTCCTTGGCCAAAACTCTAGTGAATATTTCCTAAGCAGAGTGAAGAGGAGGAGAGTGGCTAACACGGATGCCTGCAGTGCTGGTTGCCTGGAGGGAGTAGGGGCTCTCAGACCCCTGGCTTCATGCCAGGTACTCCCCAGGAACACTACCTTGAAGCCCAACCTCCCTCAGCAAAGCGAGCCTCTGGACACCTTTCCCAACGACATCCTGGGTTCCTCGTTCAGCACCTGGCACTTCACAGTAATGAACACACAATTATAATTAGCTGAATGAGTCAGCAGCAAATGGGTGGAATGAACGGATGAGGTAAATAAAGTATGTCTCACACAATTCTGGAAGCTACACTTCATGAAAAACATAATGTTGCTGGAGAAGGGAGTAAGTGAAGCGTGCAGAGCCAAGAACACAAATGCAGACTGCTCAGCACACCGCACTTCCTCCAGGGTCCTGCTCACAGGTGCCAAGCACGAGAGATGCAAACAGGGACCAAATGTGGCGGTCCACTTCTGTGACCTCAGTACCTGGACCACCGAGGAAGCAGGAGTGCCAAGAGCCGGAGACCAGCTTAGGCTATGTGATGGTCAAATCCCCCAAAGAAACACCAAGTGTCTGCAAGTTCCTCTCACACATGGCTAGTGTCTAGAAGCTGCCCTGACAGGAGGCACTAGAGGCCTGAGGTATTACAGCCACTCAGCTGCCCTCCTACAGCCACACCCCTTTCCTCAGCTGAAACCTGCTCAGTGAGAGAGCATGTCCTTATGTCCCACGTGCGTCCACCAAGGTCCCTGTGTCAGGGCTTAACCTAGCAGGAGCTTCCTCAACAAAGCCATCTCCATCTGCTACTCCCCATGAGACCCACCCGCTAGCTTCACTGTATAGCAGCAGAACCCTTACATCTTCCTCGGCCCAGGCTGGGTGCTGGCAGTGAGGACCGGGATGGGATGGGATGGGATGGGATGGGATGGGATGGGATGGGAAGGCCTAACCTCGGCTACCTAGTTACTGGCCTTCAGGCTGGGAGCGTGGCTTACTAATGTTTCTTGTGACAGAAGTTACACATGCCAGTGGTTGAATGCACATGTACCGTAAGGGTGGGGTCAAAACCAAAGCTTTCCTTCCGCCTACTCTTCCTCCCAATCTCTACTGTTATAAAGAGTCCCATGTGTCTTTTCATAACACACCAATGTGGGTCTTCTCCTTAAGGGGAAAAAATAAAAATTTAAAACATACACACACACACACACACACACACACACACACACACACACACACACACACCAGAAGTCTATCACCATTTGTATCCTGTATCCTTCCCAGTTGACCACAGGACAGGAAGCTCATTCCCTCTAGTCTTCAGGAGTGGGATTCTAATGAAGTCAAATACTAAAGAGTTCTGCCTTTTGCTTAATCGGCTCCCAAAGAAGGAAGCTTGGGTGGTGAAGTATGTTGGCACCACCAGCTATGAGTTTAGGCTCTTCCAATACATAGCTAGAGTATAACCCAGGAGCTAGCACCTGCAGGTTTACAAAAGAAGTGATCCTGACCCCTGACCTGCCTTTCTGTATCAACTTACATATTACAACAAACCAGCCTGCCCTCAGAAAAGCTCTCACTGCCCCTTCATCACTGAGACAGAAAGCCACGAATGCAGTCAGCAGCAATGTCCCTGCCCTGTCTTCGGGCCCTGTTAGCACGGCTACTGGAATCAAGTGTTGTGGATGCATAGTCTCCTCACCTTCCTGGTGAGATGCTAACAACAAACAAAAAGGCCAAGTAAATGCTGTGCGGAAGGGCAGACGTGGTCCCTGCAGCAGCAGCTCTCTCTCTCTCTCTCTCTCTCTCTAACACACACACACACACACACACACACACACACACACACACACACACACACACACACACAGCGCACCCTCACTTCATCACAAGCGACTGGACAAAAAGCAGCAGCACTCATGGCTCCATCTCTATCTGCTTGAGGCTTCCTTCCTTCAGATGGCCTGTCCCCTCTGCTCCACCTCAACCACTATGTCACCTTTTCTCAGAAATCAGGAGAGCAGGTGTCATCATCCTGCATGTGGTCAAGGAACTCTCTCTCCTCTGTGGCTGTTCCCAAACTGTGAATGTTCCCAAACAGTAGCCATGGCTCCTCATTATCCTTCTAAGTCACCATCCATCTCACATGGTGTGAACACAGGCACAGTGTACACGCCACACAGTAATTCAAATCAACTCTACATGTATGCCAGGACTAGTGTTGTCTGTATATGAACAATGACTTCAGGAAAACAGTATTTTATACACTAAAATCACCCAAGACAAAACATACCCAAAGCACAGTACCTCGTCCAGCTCCTGTGGTTGTGGTGTTGCCGTCGGGCCGTCCAGGCAGGAAAAGCAGAGAGGCATGGGCAGACAGACACACAAGACCATCAGGTGAGGGGACAGTATCAACCTACTCAAGTGACTACAAAACCCAACACTTCAAAGTTGCCCTGGAATCTATCTTCTTAGAAAAAAGTATACCAACTTGTGTTTTTATTTACTGTAGTTCTTTTGGTAAAGACAGTAGGAATCTATAAATACTTGTAAAAATTAAAACAAATTGCAAACAAGCAAAACATACTTGCTTTGTTTCACTAAAGTATAGTGGTAATCTTTTTCATAAAGATCAATTATTACTTGCAACATCATTTCTAAATTTCCTTAGGAAGATAAAAATAAATGCTAAAATATAATGTTACTGTGTCATATAATTGCATATTTTAACATGGCAATCAGCTCAGCAAATGCAACTAAATTAAAATATAAACAACCCACAAAACTGTCTACTAATGGTTGCATTCAAATAATATTGCAGCCACTCTACCTAAGGACTGTGCAAATCAAGCCCATAGTCAAGGATTTATCCCCCAGTGATAGAGACACAAATGGGAAGAGAGAGAACCACTCCTGCATGTGTCAGGCATATGCTGTGGTTAGGCACAGCTATGTAGAGGGCTATGCCGTACTGCAAACTAAGGAGACAAAGCAGAAAGTAAAAGGGCTTAATCAGTGTTGGGAAGGGGCAATGGGAACTCAAGGGTTAAATTTCAGTTGAAAACTAAAGCTTCTTTTTAAAATCAACGTGAAACTCTATCTTCTGAAGAGACAGTTACTAATGACAGATAATCTAAACAACAAGGTCCTTTTTTTCCTATGGTATTGATCATGAAAATAATTAGTGGTGAATTTCAATAATCAACAGATATTGCTGTGTTGATTTTTTTTGTTTAGCAGTAAATTTAAAAAAACATAATTTTCTTATTTAAAGATTAGTAGTGTAAATGAAACTTGATTATTGATATCAAAATATTATTATACAATGCTAGCAACAAAAAACAAAAACAAAAAAACCCCATCAAAACAGTAACAAAATCTACAAAGTAATCAGAGATTTCCTCTACGTAGAAATCTCAGAAGGAGCATCTCAGAGCCGAGAGCCTCTGCTCTCCTGCCCTTCGCCAGTGAGACCCTGCTGCAGTGGAGGCTCGAGGGGACCGTGTCAGGGAAATAGCTCATCTCGTCTCATTTTGCTTTAAAAAGAAAACAAAATGTTTTTAAAAAGCATTGCAGATCCAGAAAGAGAGCACGGACATATTTCATCGACATCCCAGAGAAAAGACGAAGCCCGCAGAGGAGCTGGTGCCTAGACCCTTTGAGGGTCCTCCTAGGGCTTCATCTAGGGACGAGGCACTGCGAGCCATCACCCAAGTCGCCTTCCACCTGAGCCCCTGCCGCTGAGTTATTAGCTGGCCGCACACATCCTCTTCTTTTCATTCCTACAATTACGAGGCGCTAAGAGGTGAAATTACAATCGTGAGAGTCTAGGATTAAAAGCAACACTTAGAAATACTCAAAACTACATTTCAAAATGTCACAGTCACAGTATCTGCTGACAACAAGAGTGGGGGCAGCTGAGGTACACCCAAGCCTTCCTTTCCCCATCCCACCCTCCAGCCTCTCTGTTGTTATTAATCATGCCTGGAATTATTTGCACATCAGGACTAAATTCAGAACACCACCTTTTCAAAGACCACCCTCATTCTACTTCTTAAAAAACAGAAGGTTTTCAAAACTCCTGCCATGAAATTACCAGGAAATTTAGTCATTTGGACCCGAGTGAAAAACTTAAGAATCACCATCAGGACAGACATAATACAGTCCAAAGAAAATATCTTTCTACCCATCACCACCTTCTAAAACCTTTATATCATCTAAACCAAGGCTTGTGACCTGCCCATGGCATGCAATCAAGCAAACAACGAAAAATTCCAAGTAGCATTTGGAATTTATAGTCTAAAGAACTTTCTATATAAAACTGAGAAGTGGAAACCCATGTGTGTTTGCTCAGGGGTCTGGAAGGGTTGAGCAAAGTGAGCTGGGAGCACAGGCCTGGGCTATACTGATGTTTACTTTATTCCTGTTGCTGCCAAAATAAAAGTCTGCTTCACTTTCATCCAATAAAGCACCCTCACTGGCCAGTCAGTCTCCTTGCTCAAATGGAACCTTTACATGCAGAAAAGCAAACACATCCAAAGAGAAACATACAATGATTTCATAGAGAAGCCTACAGACAGAGATATGACTTTCCAGCAGACGGAGGCCCTTCGATGAGCAAGAAAAAACTGACTGTGGATGGCTGTAAAAAAGAAATAAAAAACTAGCCTACTGCAAGAGAAAAAAAAAAAGTAATTAAACAAGCCACAGCCACTGGGAAGAAGCCAGGGCCACTATGGCCCAGGAGTTTGCCACAATCCCGTGCTGGTGAAGAGGGTGACAGGGTCAGTTCCTAACTCCTCTACCCATCTGAACCCTGAGCACCAACTACATCCAGGACGACACAAGGTCACACATGGAAAAGGCTCAGATTTGCCAGGCACACAGTAAGCACTCATAAATCTTCACTAATATTACAGTCAAGCCTGAGCAAGGACCACAGGTTCCTATAGGCAGTTCATCCTTTGGTTCTCTCCTCCCACAAAGCACACATTTTATTAAAAATAATGTGCTAGTTTCAAACTAATCTAGGAGCAATTAACTCTAGCTTCCATTTATAAATTGTGCATGCTTTTACAGCAGAGTATAGATCAGGCAGTCAACACTGACCAAGCACTCCCACCCTGGTTCAGATTCATCTCAAGAGCCAAGCAAACAGGAGCAACACGGCACCTTAACTAACTCAGGTCACCCTTTCAGTCACTCCAAGATTTTATTTTTTTAAATTGTTAAACTCTATAAATCCACCTATTATGTATTATGTTTTAAACTGTATTATGTTTACACGAGGCGCTGAGTTAAAACCTGTACTTAGCAGACAAGATGTCAAAAAAGTTACTTTTGCACAGTATTGAAGCTGCTCCTATGTATTTTTCCTCCGGAGCATTAAGCTGATAGCCACAAATGTTGTTGACTATGGATTCCTCCTTTTCAATTTAAAGGTAAGGTTGTGTGCTTTGTCAGGGGAAACGAGTATTAAAACAGAGCTGCAGAAACACACCAGAGATCACCTCACTCAAAATCCTCAATTTAGCAAAGAGACAAAAGATGTCCAAAAAGATTACATCCACAGCAGAGCAGGGCTTAGGCTAAATTCCCAGACTTCCATTCATCACTCTCCCTTTATCATTTGCTGCCGAGGGTAACCGTGATGGATGCCCCAAACCTAGGGCAGAACACAGCTCCTGAAAATTACCAACAAGTGCCTTTGGCTTGAACACAAAAATCAAACCCCAGTCTGTTTTTAACAATTAACTTTACTAATAGGAACACAAAAACACAAATGAGTAGAATTTTGTACGGTGGTTGTGCTGAACTTTAAAAAGAATACAGAAAAAATCAGCCCTCATACACAGGAAAGAAATTTAAACAATTCGTCTGACCCGGGACGGCTGAGCCTGGAAAAACCCTCCAGGGAATAAGGCAGCTGTGGGGTCCACATGCAGGAACAATCAGTATCCTGTGCAGCCAACACCGAGTGACAGACCCTTGAGTGGGAGACAAACTGCTAGCATTGATAAAGGAAAATACTTAAGATGAAAAAGACGACAGCTGCCAGAACGCTGTATCCATCACAGAGGAGTCCAGCAAGGAAACACTCGGTGCCACAAACAGGGACACTGGACCAAAGGTCTCAGGTCTCGTCTGGTCTTTGGGATTTCTTTGTTGGCTTGTTTTTCTGCCTGCAAGTCCTCCTTAAATCCTTCTTTAATAAGTGACACGTTTAGCCGGACCTGGCCGTTAAGTCTACTTGCATACACAGCCTCCTCCTGAAGCTGTCACCGGCAAACCTGTAGTTTCCTATTTAAACCATATTCTAAAAGCTTCCTGTTTTAAATTTAGTTAAGGCTTTCGGTTTATTTTGAATTGTATGAGATATGCACATCCACACTTTGTAATCCATTTCTGCAGTGCTATCCTCAAATAAAGGTGTGGAGACTCAGCATTAGATTTTTAAATAAAATCTATTTCTTTAGATATTTACTTTTAATTACACATCATACAATAAACACACTAAAATCAATGTCTACAGTTTCCCCTTCTAATTAGAAATTTAAAATTCCAGGTAATGATTTTTAAAAATTAAATTCTCAGGTTTGGCTACTTCCCTTCTAATTAAATGTTTAAATATGCATTTACAACTTGTCTCTTTTGTCTTATCTGACTAAGAAAAATATATACTTCTTAAGTTTTTATTTGTGATTTCTCCAGGCTGAAAAATGTACTGAGAAAATGCAAAGTGGTAACATGTCCCTGACATGCACGTGCAGCAGCAGACTTCACAATTAAAAACCTTCTGCTTTTCGACTTCCTCCACTTTTGAGGGCAGAACATATAAATAAAATAAGTGCCCTTTCAATATTAAACATGTCCACAGATATCTAATAAGATTAGCAAATTTAATTTTAATTATTTGGATAATCTAATATCATTTAATGTCTTGTCCACATTCAAAGCTGAACTGATAGTTTTGATTTACCACATGATTTTGAAACTTGCAAGTCAAAATGTGGATTTCAAATTTTTCTGAGCTGGAAGCACTGTATGAACGATGCTGTAGTTTTTAAAAATTTTGTCTTAAGCATATCTTTTTTTTCTAAATGTTTATAATGCTTTCTTGACTTCCAGAAGATATAAAAAATTGTAATTACTACTGTTAATATCTTGACATTCTTTATTATTTAAGTGCAGAAATAATTTGTGGAAAAAAACTTATAAACAAACTGAAAATATGTCTCTGTGTCCATTCTAAACACAGAGATTTACAGCATGCATTTTTTTTAAAGAACACAATTAAAATATAGAAATGTGGAAATGTATTTTTGCCTTTTAAATTCTAGCTTGGGCAAACTATTTTTGTTACACTGCAAAGATCTGTTTTGTAGTCGGAACTGACCACTCGGGCGTTTCCATGCCTTCACCCCTTTCCCTCATCTAGGAAAGATGCCGAAGCACAGGGTGATAAAAAAAAGCACTCAGTATTTTCAATAACATGACACATGAAAATATTTCTAATGTTCTTAACTTCAACATTAAATTTTTTTGCATTTATAAATCACTTTCAAGAAACTGCCTGAATTTGCTAAACAGATCTGTATATTTCTTGATATTATCTGCTTTTCCAAACCATAGAATATAGCTAAGCAATTTAATTACTTTATTACACACATATTTACATACACAAACAGATACATATTCAAATAGTCTAACTGAGAAAAACATTTAAAAAGCAGCTGGACTAGGCAACTGTTTTTGAAAAGCTGCCTGTCTGAGACATCGTGAATCAAACTCTCTGAATTAACTGCTGATTTTTTTCTCATGTTACCCAAAGGTTCAGAGTGCTTTGAACATACAGAATTAAATTTAAAAAAATCAAACAATATCTTCTATCACTTAAAATTGAGACCCTAGAAGCTTTAGCACGGGTTTAGTGCTAGGCTATTTTTCCCCCTCTCCATGAGGTTGCATAAAATTAAGACATAAAGAACAGGAGACTCTTATTAACATAACGGAAGACTCACCAGCTGTATTCATTCCGCTGCCACTCACTATGTCTCTGTTTATTTCTGGAGACCCTTTCTTTTCAAAAGCCATGTTAGAATGAACCCATCTCCATGCTGAGATTTTTTTTTTTTATTTCTATGTAATATTATGTCTTTCAGTTTACAAGTAAAAACCCTTCAATATAAATGTAAACAAAAGCCCCTGCCCCCTTGGGGGGCAATTTCCTATGCCTTGTGACCAAGTTCATACACCTAACCCCCCCAAAACGGCGCCCGCGGCGCACACGGCTTCAAATACCTTTTCTGTGAATAATATGGCCAAGCATAATTTCCACGGTGACTTAAAAATTTTTTCATGGTGACTTAAAAAGGGGACAATTGTCTTGGCAACACATTGACAATCACGACACAGAGCTTAATTTTTCATTATCACTTTGATAAACGATAAAAGAAAAAAATTAAAAGGCAATCCAGCATCTAAAAGGTGGGAAAGGCGCAGGGTTTCACACATTGCATTTCAAATACAACTTCCTAAGGGCTTGGGGTGACTGTGCATTCCCCTATGCTCCGACTCAAACCTCCCTTTTCAATTAAGGTTATTATAAATACTCATCTGACGCCCATTCACATCCAACCTCTATTTGACAGGGAGGTAGACTGAGGCTCAGGAAGTCAAAGCCTGCATCAAAAACAAACCAAATACAGCAATCTTTCTGGAACACTGCTTTGAAAAAGAACAACAACAACAAACCCCACTACTGCTGGAGCAAGTGAAGCTCCGGTCAATAAAATCAAAAGCTGGGTGCTATTTTGGGGGGTTAATTTTCACATCACATCATGTTTTTAAAAAAGTTCGAATGGAGGGGAAGCTTAATTTCCTGTGTGGGAAATGGAAGGGCCGAGCACCTTGCAGTCTCACCAGCACGAGCCCAGGAAAAACAGCAGCACAATTATTCCTGGGGGGGGCGTGGCTACACAGAGGACTGGGGCCATTTGAAGAAAAATTGTGAGAAGAGAAAATGAGTACACACCCCCTCCACAACACCCCCCCACAACACACACACACACACACAATACACAACCACACCCACACAACACACCCCCACAACACCCCCATTCCCACAACACACACCCCCAACACACAAATCCCCATCCCCCACACCCCCCCAACACACACACACACCCCCAACACACACATCCCCCCAACACACACCCCCAACACACACATCCCCCCAACACACACCCCCAACACACACATCCCCCCAACACACACCCCCAACACACACATCCCCCCAACACACACCCCCAACACACACATCCCCCCAACACACACCCCCAACACACACATCCCCCCAACACACACCCCCAACACACACATCCCCCCAACACACACCCCCAACACACACATCCCCCCAACACACACCCCCAACACACACATCCCCCCAACACACACCCCCAACACACACATCCCCCCAACACACACCCCCAACACACACATCCCCCCAACACACACCCCCAACACACACATCCCCCCAACACACACCCCCAACACACACATCCCCCCAACACACACCCCCAACACACACACCCCAACACCCCCACCCCCACCCCCACACAACCCCCATTCCCACAACACACACACACACACACACACACACACACACACCACAACACACCCCCAATACACACACACACACACACACCACAACACACCCCTAATACACACACACACACACACAACACAACTCCCTCCTGGGTGGGGGTGGGGGGAGAGTTCCCTTTGCAAGGGTTTGAGTCAGCTAACCAACCACCTGACCCAAAGAACCAAAGTGAAGCCATTGCAGGAGGTGTGTGTAGGGGGGGAGAACTCCAAACAAAACAAAACAAAACAAAAAGAAGGTTGGAGAAAGGCCTAGATTCCAAGTCCTCGTGGTTAAAACACATGTAAACTGAAGCTGCCTGTCGTGCTGTGACACTGAGGACTGAGAGGCCATGGAGTGAGTGAGTAAGGCAGAGCAGGGCTTGATACTGTGGTCCCCTTTGGGGGTCGTAGGTGCCCCATGACCCCTGACCAGGGAGCCCTTCCACTTAAGTATCACTCCTAATCGTCGTCGTTTTGTTCTTTTTCTTCCTTTTTTTTTTTTTTCTCTCTCTCTTTTTAGACAGACAGACAGAGACAGACAGACAGGCAGAGCCGCAGTGCACACGGTGTGTGTGTCTGGAGAGGCCGCCGGGAGACTCACCGCAGCAATGCTACGTGAATGCAGAGGGCTGGAGGTGGTGTGACTACTCACTTGCTCGGCTAACAGCTGCCGGTTTTGGATGGAATTATTCCGCAACAACAAGAAAGCGTCGGTTAAACGCCTGGTGGCCATGTCTCACCTCTGTGACCCCCCCTCTCAGGGTCCCCCACCCCCTTATAGTCTTGATTTTTTTCTTTCTTTTTTTTTATTTTCTTTCTCTCACGCTAGCCTGGCTGGTCCACCCTTTCTTAGAAACCTCTCTTGACAAGGCCTCAGGCCACAAAAAAAAAAAAAAAAAAAAGGTGCAATTTTGCGCTCCGCCAAAGCGCAGAGACCCCTCCCCAAATAACCACCTAGGCTTTCCAATTGTCTGGCTCCCCCTACCCCAGCCCTGGCTCGGATCTCTAAGCACTAGAATCCCCCCAATCCTAGCATAGAAACCGAACGTCCTGGAGACCCCTCCCCAATCCAGCGGCGGATCTGCAAGCGTCTAACCCACCAATCAGGAGGGAGCGTGCACAAGACCCCTGCCCACTCGCTTCCTGAGACTGCCCCTGACGTCTGGGCCTCGAAACACACTCGCTTAGCGCCTGCGTGTCTGGCATGTGGCTCTAACTCCGAATTTTGGTCAACTCTCCTCACAAAAGGCCTGCTCCAGCCACGAGCAGGCCTGAGCCCAGGACTCCAAGCGAGCGTCTGCAGCTCCCTCCGAGTCCTCAGAGCCTCCCAGGGCTCAGGGCGACCCGACCCCTGCTTCCCCGGAGGCCCGCAGGCTGCAGGCCTCCCTCCACCAGGACCTCACGGCCTGCACCCCGGCCTCCTCACTCCTCCTGGCCGGCACCCTCCATCCCGGGATATGGCTGCAACCCTGCCCCAGGGCCGCTTCCGCGTGTGGTCCCGGGCTCAGCGTTCCCCAGCCCTCTTCCTGTCCGTTCCTCGCGGGTGCCCCCCTGCGATGTTCATGAGGATTGTTTGTAACGTTCCGGGAGAGGGATCTCCCTTGTTGCCCTGCCCCAGGGGTGGGAGCGCCCCGCCCTCTCTGGGGTATTTCCCGGGGTGCCCTGTTTCCCTCTTCCTAAGTGTGTGCAGACTCTGGGACAGGCATCCTGGCCCAAAGAAAACTTCAAAAACTTGGCCCTGGAGCCGAAAATCACTGCTGGGGTCCAGACAACTGTAAACTTCTAGTAGAACTGCCAAGCAAACAAGAGTGTGGCTCTAGCAGAGCCTAGTCCTGCGCGGGGGCGGAGGAAAAGGCAGGAGACAGTGCCTCTGCAGGCCGGGCACGCTCCACTGCAGGCTGCTGGCGCTGCTGAGATGGCTGTGCCTTTTTCTTTTCTTTTTTTTTTAAAGCTGAAAAAAAAAAAAAAAGAGAGAGAGAGAGAAAAGAAAAGTATCCAAAAAACAACCAGGCGAGAAAAAGGAACAGGGAGGAAAAAAAAAATCTTGAGTTCCACGCCTTGCTGAGGACAGTCAGGGGGACGTCGACCCCCACCCTTAGGTGCCACACTCCGTAGGGGACACTGCATCGTTGTGCTTGCCAGGGAGGTTTCTGCTAACTGGGAGACCCTCCCTCACTCTCACTCCCCCCAAAAGAGCTTTGTGTTGCTGCTATGCCTGCCTTGCATCGAGCTGGGCCTTCGGGTCGCCTGCCAGTCCGTGGAACCATGCATCTGGCTCACTGCTACTCTGTCTTGGCTTAGGGGGACTCGCCGAGGGGCCCCCTAGGGCTGCTCCAGCCGCATCCCTGGAGCAGAGCGACCCACCGGCAAGCCCGGGTGACAGATCTGCATCTGCAGCGCGGATTCCTGGGGTGCAGCCTTGACCCCAGCTTTGGGGCTGGCTGCATTGGGAACACCTTGGTCACACTTGGGGTTCGGGCGAGGCCAGGCATTGGAGCCCCGGATGCCTTTCCTCTTAAGGGTGCATGTTTGTGTGCAAGTAAGCATTCGTGTGGAAATGTTCGTGCGTTGCTGTGCAACTAAGCACTCGTGTAAAAAGTATCTTTGGGGTACATAACACAATGAAGGCATGAAAGAAGAATCCAGGCCCCGGGGAGCAGCGGTGAGCGCTGATGTGAGGACCGGCTTCCACTGCCGAGCTCGGTGTGGACCCAAGCACCCCCTCCCCGCACAGCTGCTGCCATCGATCAGCAGGGACTGTTCCGGGGATGACAACAAACAGCCCAGACCCCGCTGGAGGCCGTAGGGCCCTGCACTCGGCGGCTCCAAAGCCACAGGCCCCGGATTCATCTCGTGGAGAGAAAAGCCAGGAGCCCAGCGTAGACCCCGAGAGAGCTCTGTGCAATGAAGGAAGAGTTCCCTTGCCAACCAGCAGCTGACACCTCCAGAGAGAGCCGACCCCAGTCACGTGGCAGAGCCCCCTCCTCCTTCTCCTCTGGCGTTTACAAACAACCGCCCAGTCCGCTCAGGAAGGGACATTGAATTAGAGCTGTGGGCCTATTCTCTCCTCCATTCTCCAGAGCACACATACCCCACCCCCCTTGCAGAGCAGGGCCTTGTTTACTTCTGACTAGAACCTGATCTTCCTCCTACGCTGGACGGCTGTGTTTTAGTCATCTTTGTACCCACTGGCATCTCATCTGGCTTGTAACAAGCTCTGAATAAATGGTTTTTAAATACTTGCACGAATATTGGAGACCTGAAATTAAGTTCCCAAATGGTCTGACCTCAATCCAGCGTCTCTAAAGCTTTTAGAGCCTTCTTTTAGCGTATGTATTTTAAATATATGTATTTGTCCAGTTTTAATAATTTTTTTGCAATCCCTGCCCTGCCCACCTCTCACGGGTTATTGTGAAGATCAAATACAAGCACCTTGTAAACTGTCAGATCCCGGACAAATAATATATAGAATGGTAATTTATTCATTTTCTGCATCCAGGAAGCTTAGCAGAGAAATTCCTGGCGTTGTGCTTCAGCCCATGGTGACGACCCTTCCTGGTGAATCTGAAATATTTATTGTAGGACATTTAGAAAACCAACCAAGCTTGCATCTCTTTGAGAGAGATGAACAGTGTTCGCACATATGAATAATAGAACAAGAAGTCTCTTATTCTCCAAACAGGCACCTCAAGCAACTCCGGAGCCCAGCAACAAGGAGATGGAAGAATACAGGCGCAGAGTACAGGAGCCAGAAGGCAGCCTGGAGCAGCTAAGCTCTGGCCTCATGGAGGTGCCGGGTTCTGGGCAGGAACTGGTGTTGAGAGTTGGGGAGAAGGCCTGTCTCTCTGCCTGACTGTGGTCATGTCCCTGTAGGTTCTGTCTAGCATTACAGAGGAGCAAGAACGTGTGTGTGTGTGTGTGTGTGTGTGTGTGTGTGTGTGTGTGAAATCATTATGTTCCAAAGTTCTTAGCTGCTCTATTTTTCTGTCAAGTAGCTTCAGATTTTTTTTTATGTGTTACCCTGAAACTGAAATCTA